ATCGACTGGCTGAAGACCCCAGATAGAGGCAAGAGTAACCTGGAGCAGTTGCATTGAAGGACTGTGCTTGAGACTCCAGTGACCATCTGTAGAAGCTCAAACATTGGCAAAGGATCAGGAATGACTGACACTGGCTGACGCGTTGATTTGCGTAACCTGAAAGGATAAGCGGTCATCGAAACTGATTGACTGAATGATATTGAACTTCAGAAGTGCCGAGGTTGAATTTCGGAATAACGACTAATTCTACATGCGCTAGGAATCAATTACAGTTGCTTCAATTCAACGGCTGATAAAAGGTAGCAAATTGTTGACTCTGCATCAATTTGGACATCATTGCGCTCTGATGCGGTAATAGCAAATTGGGCGAGGATTGCGGTCATCCTTCTTAATTAGAGTTCCAGGTAGGATGACAAATCGTCTTCATGTACTTGAGAAATGATTACATCAGAAATTGATAATTAGCAGAAAGTTCATAAAAATATGAGATACTGTTAAGAGACGCTCTGTAGGTTCGAACTGGATCTTCACCTTTTAGTCTCATCAAGTAGTCCTTTCTCTGCCCAATGGCAACATCAGGTCTCTTAATATCCCAGAGCAATGTGAGGCCAAAGCAATTTAACGGGTTTCTTGGCCAAAACTGGACTGAAATAACCTCCATCCTATCTTTGCACCTGAGAGTTTGATGCTAATTAAGCATCGCCTCTCCGATGTACCATAAGCAAAGCATCTTCTCACGATTTCGCCTTTCAAGACTCTATTCCTTAATCCATAAGAAACTTCTGGTCTACCGGTTTTGTCACTCACAATAGATTTTTAAAAACGAAGTTTGCAGACAAGCATATGTTATCTATCTGAAGCTTCGTGTTACTCGAATATCCAGCATAGTGGAAGAAGCGATCCGGTGAAACAAAAACTAAGTTTCCCTTTTTAGTTTCTGACATCTGATTGAAACAGCGTTAGCACCGTCCACTTGCTTCTAGTAGCCTAGGGGACCATTTAAGAAGACCACGGCTCAACGGCATTTAAGCACCTGCAGTGCAAGGATGTGAAATTCCATCACTAGGCAGGACGGAAGAAGGCCCTGTCCCACACCTGCAAATATGCCGCGATCCGTAGACATATTGATACATAAAAATCAAACCCAATCTTACATACTGCTAGTTATTGAGCAATAACTAGCAATACGCTAGTAAACCCCTAAGATCGGGTTAATTTTTGTGTATAATAATTAAGTTTGACTGCGAGAAATAACAAGGTGCTGGAACAGCTAGAAAGTTTCGCATATTATTCGAATTGTCAGGACGTCAACGCTCGAATACTGACCAACGGGTGCATGTGAAGAGGACGACATG